TGTGGCGATTCGCGCCAACAAGACACAATATAGTACTTGGCAATTCGTGCCAATGAACAAAAACTATATAATAATTAAAAAAGCGGTGATTTGCGCACGTAATATGCGTGTATTTCTCGTTTACTCCGAAAACTGGACTGGTTTGGTTGGGCGGCCGTGCTAAGTATATTYGCTTAACAGCGGCGGGCGATCGCACGTAATCTACATATTATATAATAATTCACAGTTGATACGGACAATTAAAACAGAAATAAAAACAATAATACAAAATATAAATATATAGGTACAAACAGGTAACAGATATGTGATGTGGGTGTGTGTGTGTGGTGAGCCGGTCGGTGGCTATATAGTGTTATATGGCGTCGACAATACTTTATCCATCGAGTAATTACAATATGATTTTGTATTTATTTAATTTAATTTGATTAGTAAATTACTTTTTAAATATTATTTAAAATTACAGTGCATTAAAATATATTTAATTCTTGAAATTATGACTGTGGAAGAGTATTCAATGAGTCATTAGCTTGAGTTATTATTCATTAGAATTTAAATTTAAAAATATTAATTTGTGTTTAATTTTCGTAAAAATTAAATTAATTTAAAGTTCACTTAACAACAAATTCAAAATAGATATATAATAGGTAATACAGCATTTTTTTACACCATTGAGTATATTTTTTGTAAGATATAATGATATTGCATTGAAGTATAATGGATCTAAATGATCATTTTTTTTTCTACCTTACACATAAGACATAAGTTCACGCTTATATTAACACATATTATTTTTAACATCTAGTGTTTTTAGAATCATTTTATGTGAAAAATGTAGTATTTCAAAGTTACCAGAAAAATATAACTTATACATTTATAAAGTTAGAATTTCTTAAATAATAGTACAATAGTTGACATTCATAGTATGATCTACAGATTAAGTTAATTCGTAATAAGTAAGTACTTACTTAGTATTTATTTTTCTCCCACATAAAAATTTTAATCTTTTTTTGTCACAATTACTGCCTAGTTAAACATTTTACAGTACCGGTTTTAACATTTTGTTTACAATAATTATTGTATAGCTACAAAATAATCTGGAACAGTTTATAACTGTGTGTCTATACACCGGACAAATTGGGAAGGAATCGATTTGTGGCAATCGAAAAATAACTCGTTAGTGCTTGCACCCATAGGTATATTTATTTGATCAAAGACACTCCGCTGATGTTGTTACAGGTCGTACGGCGGCAAGAAGTATCAAACGATAAACCGATATGCACCGGATATTTGTCCAAAAGTTGAAATATTCACTGAAGATTCCAAACTTACTGTACGTCACATACTTTGAATTCTTACAAATTGTTTGACAGTAAATAATTGTTAAATAGTTTCATTGGATGACAGACTGCTGCGTTTCGTATAGATACGTACGCTGCARTGTGTTCTACGTGGTTGTGTTCATAGCATCCGACCCCCTTTCACCAATTAAGTTAAATTTTGTATTTTTGTAGAACAAACGACGATGCATCGTGGTTCGATCGTAAATAATTTTAAATGTTTGCTAATAACATTATATGTAGGTAATACAAACAGGATAGTAATAATATTATATTATAGTACCTACCTCCACATGCAGAGTTACTAGATAAAAAAAACCAACTCATTCTAGTTTTCTTATCAGCATAATTACTACGATTATAATAATAGTGATTATGATAATTTATTTTTAAAAACGACAAAGACTTTGTGGCAATCACAGTAACGCGGAGATAACACGCTATTCGAATGTTAATTCTTGATAAAAAGAAGCGTATTTAAACGAATTACGCCGAGACGAAAAAAAAAGAAAGATACAAACGATTTAAACTAATTTTAAAAACAAATGTAAATCATCTTAAAAAAATTATAGTATGATGATTATAATAGTTAATAATATGTTTTATGGTACTACGAAAACAATTTTTTTTTACAAATCCGTCACGAATATGTCCTGTCACTCCTGTATACCTTATTAATTAATATTCCATAGACATTAATGTTTTGTCACAAAATTTTGGAAATCTGGTGAATCTGTTTAATCCAATGATTATTCTTTAAATCAAAAACAAAATATTTAATATTTAATTAAATACATTATAATATAGAGCAGAAATTATAACAGTTTTATTACATACTTAGGTACAATAATTTGTCTTGGTTCACAATTATTTTGAATATCATGACTTATATTCCATGTCTTCGTAATATTTATTTAATTCTATACTTATTACTTAACTTTCACATGATACATTAAAACATTTAATTTCCACTGTAATAATAATATTTAACTGTTATTATAACAAGTGCAATTTAAATTTAAAATATAAATTATAATAAGGTAAACAAAAAAATTTAAAACCTAAAAAACATCGTTTATATAGCCTACATAAAATTTTACGAAAATGTACATCACAAATAATTTGGGTTGAAAATAATTGTTAATTTTAAAATTTAGCATTCTTTGATATACAACTTTTGATGTCTCCTATAGACATCAATTTTGTATACCTATTACTTATTCTGGTGGTAAAAACACGATATAGGTACTTAAATCTAAAATATTTTATACATATATATATATATATATATATATGACTTCTATCGACAATGGATATAATATAAAACATATTTAATTCTCAATAATATATTTAAGTTCGAGTTTATATTTTGGAATAAAATAAAAACAATTTAATAAAATGAAATAATGTTTGTTCGTTGAATATACATATAATAACATAATAAACATAATAAATTATAGTTTAACGATGGAAACCAAAATAAAAATTATTTATGATTCAGAGTTTAATAATACATATTTAACAATTACACTCGTAATATTTCACATGGTTTTTTTGTCGTTTATCGTCCATATATTAAACACCACATGTGAAACAATGAAGATTCGTTCAAATGTTACACTCTTTTATCTTACATATAGTTATATATTAATAATATATAACTATACGTATAACAAAATATATAGATATAATATTATAATATACAGAGTGTTTTTTAAGGAAAATACCAGTATTTACTTTTGATGCGTCAATAAAAATAATCGATAAAAATTATACAAGTTAAATGACTACTAAATCTAATATTATATACTTCCTAGCTAAATTACCCGTCGTTGCCGGGTTTATAAATTGTTGTTATCTGGTAAAACTGTGTAATTTTCTTTTTATGAAAATGTCATATAATCATTCTTAGGGGTCTAACCAATCACCTTAGGGGTTGAATTTCCAAAAATACTTTCTTAAAGCACTGTGAAATTATAATATTAATCCTCCTGAAAATTTCAAGCAGATCTGCCCTATGGTTTGGGCTATATGGTGATTCCTCCGGAGAACAAATCTTTTATTATATATATATATAATAGAAGATTATTATAGTATAATAAAAATTAAAAATATAGGTAGTGTAATATGTATTTGTAAATCCATTTTTAAGGATTATTATCCTATGATTCATTTTTTTTTTTTTTGATTACTCAGACAGTACTCATTATAATTTTAATTTAGATACATTAACATTTTCAAAAAAAAAATCATTTTCTAAATAATTTACAGTAAAAAAGTGGATTGTATTTTTAGTAAAAAAAAAAATATCAGAAGTTTGAAAAAATGTATGGTCTTTGGTTATAATTGAAAGGAATTCTAGGAATTGGAATTTGAATAAATTTAGAATTAAAGAGAACAATTTATTGGGTTGAGAATGCTAAAAAATCACCCTATATATTATTTGTTAAATCACAATGCATATACAGTTGCGATCACTGTGTAATATTGTTTTCGATACGGGAGATTTTTTTTTGTTATTATTTGCACATGTCTAGCTAACAGTTATGATAGTATGTGAATTTGCACAAACATACGACAGTTATTATTGTTATTCAAATGCATCAAATGCAAGCAACTGAAATATAACATTGCAATATTATAGACAAATATTATATTAACATTGGTATCGATCTGCTGAAATTGTGCGGTCGCGTTAGTTAGTGCGTGCACATTAGAAAAGCACAAACATATATAGATAATATTATTATTAGTATTATTATTATTTACGCGATAAACACTCGGATATATTATAACGTTTAAACCTGACCTGTGGGTATTATGAAATGAAGTAGAAGTGCCTTTAGGTCATAATATTTATAGTTATAATGTACACATTTAACGATGATCGTGCGTGTATTAGTAATCACAGTTATAGGTATAGTGCATATTAATCACTGACACCTTCGACTGATGTAAACGGAGCGTATGGGTCGAGGAAATAGAACAGAATAATAACACTTTTGTACAGTGACGACTGACGAGTGATGAGTCGTAGCCACGTGTGAAAAAATTCGATATAATAATGTCATCACTAACACAAAACCAAACAATATAGCTGTAGTGATGATTCATAATAATGATGATAATAATAATAATAAAATATTGTGATTAAACCAGTCGTAATACCGCAGATAAGTTCGTATGATATTATTATTATATTTGATCGAATGAATCTGAAAATGTTTAGGAAAATTACTAAAAAAATGCAAACTTGCCCGTTCTGTAGTTTAATATTATATAATAGCAATAAGATACAAGGAGTGCGTTACCAGAAACAGTGAATTATTCGTGCTCTTGAAAACTTCACGGATGGTATAATATAATAATGATAGTAATAATAATTGGATACTGGTGTGACACTGTGGCTAACCGCAGTCTTTAACGTGTTTTGAGGTCAAGGCGTCGCTATATTCAGGATGAGTTAACATTCAGATTTGTAGTGGCAAATCTTCGCCACATACTCACGAGTTCCAAACCAACCMCAYYCTCCAATATATTAAAAAACAAACTGCTAACCTTCATACTAATGACTTCAGATGTTGAAGTTTCAACTCAATAACAAAAAAGTAATAATAATTAATAGTAATAAATTCTATATCTGCAATACTAGCAGGTCGTGGTAGGTGTAACGTGCGTTGACCAACTTGGATGATGTTTTCGACACGTTTATTTTTACCTCGCTTGTTCTGTACAAACTAACAAGTAAATACTATCAGTATCAGAAAAGTCCTGTATACCTATATMTATAAAATGACGAAAATCGATATAATACTCACACGCATATAATATATAATATAATATTATATGTTATATCTTGTGTACCGTTTGCCCTCTCTGTATCGTGCGATAGAGGTGTTAAGAACTATACAATATACAGGAGTTTACTAGGTTTTTTTTCCCTTCCAGTAATTTGTCCATTGGTATTATTTATTTTTTTACGGGGTTTCTCTTTCCACTCCTCCTAAAACTTGTTCGAACTTTCGGTTTTCCCCACTACACCCCTCAGTGGTCGTAAATTCCGTTATTTATGTTTATTCTATCAACTTGCCGTTGTTTATTACCACCACGGAAAGTTTTTAAACTTCTCGGTACGTGCTAGCAAAGAAAGTACCCTTTGGTAAACTATAAAACGTCATGGGAGACTTTTTCCTTCTCGTTTCCTTCAGGAGGAACGAAAAATAAAATAGAAATATTGATGCGCAACACCAGATATACCAGACGAAACAAGTATCGTTTCAGTTTCGATAACTTTAAACACAATCGAATAATTTCTTTGAAAACTCTTTGGAAACCCAAACCCAAAACATAACACACACACACATATATTACATTATAAAGTCTAGAGGTTATTTTTCTCTTTGAAATCTCTATAGAGTCATTTTCATATATTATTCTATTCTTGACGGGTTATACTTTTTTCCCGCTCTTCATCCCGTATTTTTTCCTTTTAAAACAGATGTAGTTCATTTTTTTTTTTTATTCAGATGTTTTGTTTTTTTATCTAACATTATTTCAGATTTTATTTCATTTTAATTTAATTATTTCAAACCATTCTCGATGATTTACTTTTTTTTGTCATAGTAGTGACCAAATTKTTCTGAATTACAGTTGTAATTATTTCTTTTTAATACATTAGTTATATCATATATTTTGTATACAGCCATCGTATATACATAAAAAAATAATAATGAAAAGATCACWATTATTACGTTTCTTATCTCACAATCCCATTTAAACTGTTCTATACCACAGTAGTTATAGTATTAGTATATGACTTTATTGTTTCACGGTGGTATTCAAAAAACAAATAAGACATTGTTTGATAGTACTTTGAATGTCGATTAAGTAGTTCCTTTGTATTAAATACAGAGTTCTTCAGTGGGGCCTAGTTGGAAACTAGATGACGCAATCGGATGACACCACGGGAAGTTGGTGATCGCGTAAAACCACA